ACGAATTCTTCCATTGCTGACGATTTTGCGCAAGTATTTCACACTTCGTCCCTAGAAACATCCATGATCTTTAGATCATTATCGAATGTTCGTCTCCACGTGTTTCTGGGACGGCCTCTTGCTCTTCTGGCTCCTGGAGGAATCCAGTACATGGCCCTTCGTGGAATACGATGTTGAGGCATACGTAGAATATGTCCAGCCAGTCGGAGTCTGCGCCGTGCCACAACCACGTGGAGGCTGCTCATACCTGTGCGGCTCAGGACTTCCTGATTAGTGATGTGGGCTGTATACCGTATTTTCATGATTCGGCGAAGGCAACGCTGATGAAAGGCATTTATTTTCTTAACGAGTCCAGCAGTTATTTTCCATGTCTCACTTGCATACAACGCGGTGGAAATCACGATTGATTGGTATAGGCGTATCTTGATGTTGTGTGAAATGGAAGTCATTGCCCATACTGGCTGAAGTCGTTGAAATACAGTTGCTGCTTTTGCTATTCGTATCCGTGCATCTGTTTCTGCATCTCCATCACAAGCAACTACACTTCCAAGATAAGTGAATTTTCCCACAGTCTCCAATTGTTTTGCATCAACATTGATGACCGTTTTGCACATCATTGGGGCCAATCTTCATGACTTTCGATTTTTCGGCGCTGATGCGCAAGCCGATCATTGTTGCTTCACTGTTCAGGCTCGTAGTTGCTTCTTGAAGCTCACGTTCTTCTTGCGCAAGAAGCGCAATGTCGTCCGCAAAATCCAAGTCTGACAAGCGTTCCCCGTTAGACCAGCTCAATCCTGTTTCTGTTCGTCTCATCGCTTTTCGCATGATAAAGTCCAGACATATATTGAACAACAATGGAGACAGAATATACATCCCTGTCGTACTCCTGTGGTGATTTCAAAGAAGTTTGTGTGGCCATTATTTGTTCTTACGCAACACGAGGAGTTCAGGTATAAGTTCTTGAAGATGCTGATGAAGCGCGATGGTATCCCGTATATTCTAAGAATTTTCCACAGTGAATCACGATGGATGCTATCAAATGCCTTCTTGAAATCGATGAAGTTGATAAGAAGGGGATGATGGTATTCTATGCACTGTTCGACAATATTACGGAGAGTGAAGATTTGCTCACAACATGATCTTCCACTCCTAAATCCTGCTTGTTCTTCTCGTAAACACGTGTCGATGGCGCTTTGAAGTCTTCGTAGAAGTATCAAGCAAAACGTTTTCCCCGGTACTGAAAGCAACGTGATGCCTCTCCAATTCCCGCATTCGGACAAATCTCCTTTTTTAGGCAGTCTCACAATGACTCCTTTTCTCCAATCCTCTGGGACTTCTTCTTGACTCCAGCACCGGTTGAACAAGTTAGTTAATGCTTCGATCATTGTTTCACCACCCGCTTTCAATAACTCTGCTTGAATGCCATCCAATCCTGGAGCTTTCTTGTTACGAAGGCATTTGAGTGCTTCATCCGTTTCTTCAGTAGTTATGTCTCCAGTGTTCACGTCGAGCTCTTCTGCTGAATCTATCTCATCGAAACAATAGGTCTTTGTTGGACTGGGTTGGTTTAGCACGTTTTGAAAGTGCTCGAGCCACCTATCGTTTTGTTCTTCATCACTTAGCAGAAGTTTTCCATTTTTATCTCGAATAGGAACATTTGATGGATTTGGCCTTCCTGTCAGCTCATTCACAATGCGATAAAGGGTTTTCGTGTCGCCACGATCTGCTGCTTGTTGAGCTTCAATTCCTTTTTGTATGAGATACTCTTTTTTATCACGACGACAAGACTTCTTGACAAAACGATCTACTTCCATATATTTCCGTCGTATAACTTCGTATAATGTTTATTTGCTTTTCTCAGCGCCCCGGTTCCATCGCATCCTCACCGGTACGTTACCTGGTTTCATCTTTGACCGAGTGACCAGAGTCGAAAATAGATCTCCAGACCTGCAATTATTCAGACATCTGCCAGCAGCTTCATGAGCGCACCTTCAACTAATAATTGAATAACATAGCCTGCAACGCAGTACTACTCATCGCTTGCTAATGCCAGCGCTACCCTGAGCAGTTGCAAACCAAAGTGAGCCAGCAAGAATTATCATTGCCTACTCGCTCTCCACGAAATACGCCTGGCACAGTCTTGACTGTCGCAGCGCATACGCTCCGTCTCTAACTTACGTGTCACTGACCCGTTTCGGCAGATGAAATGCTTCATGCTGTTTTGTATATCATTACATTCCTTATCGAAATTTCATCTATTGTATAACAACTTACTATTATGTTATATTTACATCTTTTTCATGAGAAAGCTTGCACTCGGAAAACATGTACGCCGGTAGAGCTCTGTGAGGAGGCAAGCAACTGCTGTCCCATTCATCTATTTTTAGTAGTAATTTTTGACGAAAGAACAGTTTACATCGCTAATCATAAAGCTATTTTAAGCTGTTGTTGAAGGATGCGACGAAGCGACGTCACAAAATGCTGCTTGCTTTATGTCGTTTGATAAACCGCGTAGCAACCTTCTTGCCTGGGGATAGTGTTTTTTTTTTCTTTTTTCTTTTTTTCTAAACTTTGAAAAACAATATGGCCGTTTTCAAGAAATGATTGAGCGGATTCAATGACAAAATACTGAAAAAGCTTTGACTAAGGAACAAAGAACGGCACTCCTGGAAAGACTGAAGGTTTTCGAGTTCTATAAAGGGTGTCATTTGTAATAGGTAATCTGTTACATATTTTAGCTTTTCAAAAGAAAGTCCATTGACAAAGTGCAACCAATGGGAGACTCAATTGAGGAAATCAATATCAACAGCCGAAATAGCCGGTGCTCTTTTCCAAGGGGATATGATCCTTTCAAAGTTGGTTTTGTTGCGACTCAGTTCGCCTTATTGCTATCGTGAGGAAAAGACGCAAGTGGCTTCAATGTGGCTATCGCTGTACACTTCTTGAGGGGGATTGAATTACAACCAGTGCTAACTAGCGAACCTTCCAAGATTTAGCCATACCATGTCAAAATTCAGCAATTCTCCCCAAAAATTCCAGATAAGTTTGCTCTTCAATAGCGAGGTGACGTCAAGCCTAAAAATATTAATATTGAGGCAGTCCAGAGGCATTACTCCTTCAAAACATAATGAAATTCAGAGATCAGGAAGATTAGATCATTGCCGAAATCAGCGACGGTACTCCGCTCCAAGCGACAAGCCATGAAAGAAACAGAGTACCCTGGCAAAAGATGGCATCAAGGGGTCAACTACTTCTTCGACAGTAAATTTTCAAGTCAGTCTCATCAATACAGCAATCGTTGATCATATAACACCAAGCTAGCAAAACTAAACCAGCTGTGTTTAGCCCCAGAAATAAAAAGTGTCTTCAAGAAGGCAACGGAGCTGTGGATGAACAACATGTGCATCGATACTAGAGAAGAAAAATACGGTAAGAAAGCAGAATAGACAAGCAGGAGCAAGGGACAGAGAATAACTAATTAAATTAGATGTTCTTCAGGAAATCAGTGATGAGGACTCATTCAAAATACTTTATTGGTAAGCTTTCGCTGTGCTAACAGCTTCTTCAGACCTAAACATGCCCGGTTAGTACGTTCGTATAGCTTTATGCTCTAAGAATTAGCGTACGTATGTTATGCTTGATTTGTATGTTTAGGTCTGAAGAAGCTGTTAGCACAGCGAAAGCTTACCAATAAAGTATTTTGAATGAGTCCTCATCACTGATTTCCTGAAGAACATCTTACACACATGAGGCTCAGGGATAGCTCAATTCTATCATAAATTAAATTAGATTAATTTAGTAAGGGACACCGTACGAGTGTACAAAGGAGAAGTTTTGCGTCGTTCTATGCCAAATGGTGCCATTCGAAGTCTTCCACTTGGTCCAGGCTGCGAATCGGTAAAAATCAAGGGGTCTTACACCTGGTAACGTCGTCACTAAAATTGAGGAGAAGCCCATCAAAAGATTTTGGGAAAGTACTCGATCAAACCTTATTGAATTTAGTTGTGTAGCTCATGTGAGGTCAGTAAACCGTACCGATACTTCACCATCACCCTGCTGCGTAGGGTGAATGGCATTTAACGGGACAGTGTTTTGATCTCTATCCTATTAAGCGAACTCATAAGTTTCTCCGATTTAGGTCGGAACTGCTGCTCACGAAAATGGCCATGCTCTTAGATTTTTCCACACGCACTCTAGATATGACCGTGATGAATTACTGTCGACATAGCTTATATCTAAGGTATTCTTGAAGGTGTCATGAAATTTGTCCAACCCTGTACGATTTCAGCGTGACTGGGCGGACCAGTTCGTGCTGCGAACAATTGAAAACAATTACAACTACAACCTGACGTATGATTGGGGTAATATTATGCACTTACGGAGCTACCAGGTAAGATAATGAAAAAAGCTATCTCAGAGGGCTGAGGATATAGGCTGCCTTTTTAAGTGCTGCTAAAGATGCTAAGCCAGCAATGGTGCCAAAAGACGTTCTTACACCGAAACACTTGGTTCGCCTTTTATTGGCTACTATGATTTGCTAATGACGAACAAGCACTACAATTGCACAGGTATGCAACACTAACTTGCAAGAGTGTCTGATAGAAACTTATAGTAAATGCTTTGTAGACATATGTAGCCGTCGTCTTGTAAGAATCATGGATTCCCTAATCCTCGTGACTGTAACAAATGCATCTGTCCCAGCGGATACGGTGGCCCGCAATGTGATAGAAGAGTAAGTCTTCGGCTTATAAGATCTCAGCAAGAAAAGATGGTGTGGTAGGGAGTCTTCTCATCACATGGTTGAAATTGCAAACATGCACTTCAAACTCTATACATCACTGAGTTGTTCACTTGGCACCAGAACTATTCTGATTCTGGTATGCATTGTCTCTTGTGAAGATATTGTGTGAGCTAAATAGTGCCAACCTCGCTCGTTGTCAAAATGTTAAAGATCTGCAAAATCCGGTTTAGCCAGACGGATGCGGTGAGGAATTAGTTGCAAGCCGGCAAGTGGCAGCAACTCAAAGACCAGCTTGGTGAAGCAGGTGATTCACTGCGCGAAGACTTTATGAAATGTTAGCTATTGGATCAAGGTTTGTTTCCTCGATATGTAAACCAAGATGCCCTCTATGAAATGCTAATATATAATATATAAATATATTTATTTAATTACACCGAGCTGTGTTACGTGCACAACTAAAAAATCAAGTGCCATTCAAAAAAGTCAAATGCATGTGATATTGCCCAGATTTTTATCATTGAGGCCTCCAGCCAGCCCCTCTTCTAATCTAACCATGATTTTTTCCAATTCGCAGATACATGTGTGCGCATATTAGGAAATAGGGAATGATTCCACATAATCAATCGCAGCCTGAGCGTAGACCAGCGATAAACTACTCACGCAAAATGTTGACTTCTCTGCTCTATGTGCAAAAAATGTTGAAAGCGATACTGTTTGGCAAGAGAGGAGCCGAAAAATATACTCAGAAGTCTCAGAACTGGTATTTAGATTGAGAATTCCCCTACGCTGGTCTCTGTAGGGCTGCAGCTTCAAAGTAGGATTAGTAGCAGGTAACAATAGGTGAGGGGCTCCTAGCGTAGGCCCCCTATTGTTTCCAGCTTCGCTGACGAGATGTGTAAATTAACTAACTACAAGCAATGGCGAATTGTGGGAAGTTTCCAGCCACTCGCATCCGAATCAATACAGGCTTTTTGTCATATTGACAAAATAACATCAGTTGTTAGACACCATCCCGATACCAAATGTTATGATCATGGCTGTTTTCATTATGACCGCTATTAGCAATCCGATCCTAATCTTTGTGGGAGAACATACACAATTTTGGATCCATATGAAAACGCATCCAACTTTATAATTCAAGAAAATATAAATCAAGTTTCTGCAAAAATATGTCAATATGGAAAAAAACATATGCGAAACTGCAGACAGTACTACACAGTGAGACTGAGGAACGTCTACAACCAAATTCCACATAAGTACTATTATATTACTGTTGCGAATAAATTATGCTGTTCCATGCCGCTAAGGAAGATATCATAGGGACGAGCAGGACGCTTCGTGGCCAAAAACAGAAGCCTTCGCTTCCCGTTTAGCAGATAATGTTTTATATCTTGTCGGGCACGTACAGGCATGGTACTGCTCGAGACACTTCGACGTCAATGTTGTTCTGGCTTTGGCCTCAATGATGACATCAAACGTCAAAAAGTGAGGCACATACAGTCGATATCCGAAAGTTGGGGTAGGTGTGTCACCGGAAGTGACGTGCACTTGATAGAAGTGCGTGGATAAGCTGTTGCCAGCATGCTTTGCTGATATCCAGCGATGTATGTTGGAAGCAGCTTATCCACGTAGCAGCCTGATAGGCCTATATGCCGTCGATCCAATCACATAAGGCCTTTTATCAAGTGCAACGCCACTTGATAAGCAAAGCTATGTGGACAACACAGCGGTGACCCCAACTTAGCATTATCAAAGACTTATGTTAATACATGTCCAAATGGTAAAAAGGAAGATCTATTGAGTATTCACAAAATTCTGGGTGTAATTTGAAAATAGCAGCTTTTGGAGCACACCCTGCGATGAGCTAAGGTGAATCGATCTTTTCGGTGGTTAGGATGAATCTGTCGTTTGAATTCGCAGATGTCCTGTTCCCGCGGCTCGAAAGTGCGCTATATGACGCAAAGGGCTCAGGGGCCACTTACATCGTTCCCGCTTCCCTTCATTTACAAAATGGTGGTCTCTTGGTGCTCTCTTTTGTAGTGATCCCCTGTCTATCCTCCCTCCTTCGTACTCAGTGCTTTATCACAGCTAAACTAAAAAGCGAGCAAACAGTTAATTTCAACGTTTCGACGGAACATTTCTTTTTTGTGCTAGCGTTCAACTTCGCGTCCCTGCCTTCATACTGGTTGGCTAGAGTCACACCGTTTATTCGTAGGGGCCCTTAGCAAGATGCACACTTCAGAGGTTGAGGTTTGAAGAAGGCTCACAGCCTCAAAAGCTGAATACTTCGACGGATTCGCACGAAAGCAACACTTTGCTGTTCAAAGTCGTTCCACTTAATCATGATCCTAGCGAAATTGTACCTATTAATAATATTTAGCTAAAGCATCTACAACGTTCTCAGATGACTGGAATCTTAGTGAGTGTAATCGTTTACTCGCGGTACTTTCTTCAAACTGGCGAGTAGACCCTCAAGGCGATACTCTGTGTGAGTGGGTAGAAGACTCCCAAGGCATAGAAGTTGCAGCACCATCACTTGCTTTGAGCGCTGCAACCGCTGCTGTGGTATGCTGTGGTAATTTTCGCAAGACACGTGGTCTGTGCTCTCTCGTAAGACGTGCTGTCCCGTGTATTCTCTCTCTTTGACTCAATGTTTTCTCGGACAAATGATGGTTGACTTACAAAGAAGGAGCCCTTAACGTTGATTGCCTTTCTCGTTTACTGGCACTCCTCCTCGCTTCTCTTGCCCAATCTTAGAGCTAAATAATCCCGAATTAGATTGCGGGCTGTGTCCTTCAGTGAGGAGCCCCTTTCTTGATCGTTGTAGGGAGGGCAACCAAAGAGCAGAATAGATTCCATTTCTTGTCATTCATTCTGGTAAGAATGTGATCACAGAACACGAGCGAAAGCAGCCAAATCAATTTCTCTCGAGTAGCTTAATGTGTGGAATTTTCGAAATGTAATTTAATTTTAAATTATTTAAATCTGAGAAAAGAAACGAAATTTTGAAAGTCGAATGTATGGAAAGTGAATCTGTGTGAATTCAAACAGCGTCTTGAATTTTCCTAAAGATTGCGCGGATGTTGGTACCTCGAGGGATCAACAAAGGCTCGAGAGGCGAAAGACGCTTTCTTTCCCTTTCTCTCCCCCTCCTCCTCCCCCCGCCCCCAAAATTTGTCTGAATACTTTCATATGCAGTTTGACGGTGGCTGCCAACCAAACGGATAGACAAAAGCGATTCGGTGATATCGAATGTAACTATTTATAGGACGATACAACGAGCCCCCACAAGTCTCCCAGAAGGCGAGCTCTAATTCGCGGCACTGGCTTTACATTGTCAACTTCAACGCCTACATGACCATGCTCTGAATCCTGAAGCGACGCTTTCCAAAAACTAATATGAACGCAACTTACTTATCGTTTTCTGAGTTGACTGGTTCTTTTTCCGGAAGAGAAGTCGAAGTTATCAAATCAGCTTTGAAGTCCCGAAACATCAATCATGAGTGCCGTCAATCCGGATGTCTGAAACTGTCTATTGATGGCGACTAGATGAACGATACTCGTATAAGTAAGCGAAGAGAAAAACAGAAAAACAGGATCGTAGCGATGAGAAAGATTCAAAACAAGCTTTTTGAAAGTCAAATTCCGCTCTCGTGCTCGCGCTACTTAACGTTCCTTCGGGCTCTCGTGCTTAGGAACAAGAAATCTAAATTCGCACTCACTCATGAAAAATTTCCACATAAAAGCGAGGAAATGAAATCCTACTCTTTCGCTGCAAAATGTGCGTCGTCCTACACACTCAAAAGAGCTGCTTTCATGTTAGTTTGTTAGTAAATATTACCTCCATTATGGCCGACTTGCATTTTTTCGCGGAGCCTTTTTAAATGTGCGCATTTTATGTATCTGCATAGTGCATAGAAAAGGATAACGTAATTGTAAATTTTAGCTACGACCTTATGCAGGCCTGGTCGGGATAAATGGCAGTGACCCCAAGAAATGGGATCCACGTAGAGGGCCAGAAAGGTTGAAACGGGATACTCAATTGGCAGCACAATCTAGCAATAAACACTGTTCTGTTATTATGGCCGCTTCGAACTTTGTAACCTAACTAAAATGAGAGAGCTTTAGAATTTCATCCAACCTTTTGAAGAGCAGCGTGATCCATCTGACTATGTTGTTTGTATACTACATACATTACCATCAGTATCGACTATAGTATTAGTATATTAATCTGATACTTCATATCGGGGGTTTGGCTGGCCGACTCTCGTTCTATTAGGTCGTGAAGAAAGTTCTTGCGCTTTTCGGTGTTTCGTTTTTGAACGCTTTATTTTGTTACGAATTCAAGCAAGCTGCCAATGAGCTGTATGTGGTTTTGAAGAGCTTTTCTTGTTCTATCTAACAGCTAGGCTAGCTATGTTCCTTATTTTTAGTTGTCATTTTTTGAAGCCTTGAATACGGCATACTCCAAGAGCAAATTTGCATGATTTCCTTTTTCTAGCTCAAAGCAGGCCAGTATGGAGAGGAAGCAGGTCAAGATATTATAGACGCACTTGGCTGAGATTCGCAATAAATATGGTCTGAAGCAATTGTTCAAAAAGCTTTTGTAAGAATAGCGAGAGCCCTAAAGATTGTGAGGGTGGTGATCGGAGATTGGACAACGCCAACGATTAGTCGAACGTTCTGGTTGAAGCACGTTTGCACAAATCTATTGAGAGGGTTCCCTCCTAAACTATCGCACTTGCATTGTGTTTTCTTGTTGTACGGGAAGAGCTGGAAAGTCCCAAAAATTCAAATAGGGCGTGCCGCGACAGCTCACCATTTTGAAGGGTCGTTCGCCGCGTTCTAGCTTGTTTCATGCCATGAAAACGACCTGACTTTTTGATCATTTGCAACGCACGACAAGAACGGATTCTTTGCTACAGAACGAACCTTTGGTGAAGTGATCGACCGCGATCAGGCTCTACAAACTTTGCAAAAGTGAAACTTCACTGAAGGAAGGTTGAGGTGACTTTCATAAGGTCAGCGGCTGGTCTAGCTTTTCGTAACCAGGTGGATCTGTTAATGTGGAAAAAGTACTCCTGATAATGTGTCAAATTACTCCTAGAACTCTGGCACATATGCTCGAAATTCCTCATTATAAAGGAACCGGCTCGTCCCTGACAGGTAGCTCGACGCACATTCCACAACCAACCCTGCAAAAGTTGGACAAGATTGGCTACGAATCAAATCGATTGAGCCGCAGTATAACCGGCAATTTCCAAAACGCCATTTCCAAAAGCGCAAGAACTTTCTTCACGACCTAATAAATGGAATTGGACGGTGCGCTCGGTATCAGAATTTTCGAAAATTCAGTTTGTGACCGCTCTGCTTTTGGATCCCATCATCCGGAACAGTAAGATCGACAGGAGCTTCCTTCGAGATTCTATCTTGGATGGAATTCGGCTGCCATGCTACTTCCACTATGAGACAACTATGCGAGAGTCAAGAAGTTCATGTATTAAATTCCATCGGCTGAGGCTGTGATGCGCAAATTCGATTTACGTCATTAGCGTTCTCCTGTTTCCGCGGAAGTCTCGTTAGTTACCGTTCAGTTTTCCTAGATGGGAACCTGTCCACCCATGGAAAGATTTCAAAGAATTTTTCATCGTTTTATGTAGGCTGTGGACGCGTCCAGTGGTTAAAGCCCTTGAAGTTATTTGAATTTGTTTCTTCTCTGCACATCCACGAGATCTTAACGTTGGAAGCTTGTATGGTTGTATAATAGGATTGCCTCCCAAAACTCACGTTGTTTAATCTGATGCTTTTGAATCTAAACCCAATTTTCTCATGC